CACAACTTGCTATAGAGTACGCCCCAGAGTTTCCCATATACTTATTGAACATATAAAATAAAAACCCAAGTTAGCAAGCTTATTTCTTATCGGCCAGCACCTGTTGACACATTTGCAGGAACCAATCAGAAAACCGGATCATGTACTGTCTAAGGTTTTGAGCTACATTAAGCAGCCATCAGGATGCACATTCAGCACGCAGGTACAGTGGAGAATGGGACTGCTGTGCTCCAAGCAAGAGGTCAACCTTATGCAGGAAACCACCCTTTACACCACAGTCATCCACCCAAAAGAGTAGATGGGGCTGAGTGTGTAGATAGGAAAGAAGAGTGTTCCAATGATCAAGTTCCTGTGGCTACTTGCATCTCAGGACATGCTAATAGTCACTCACAAGAATAACTCCTCTCTCCTCTCCTAAAATAGCCACTCATATAGCCTTCATCCCAGGGGTCTTCAATCTGGGCTGCACAACTACATTACTAACAAAACGTCTAAAAATTCTGATGCCAAAACATCTCCCTACACCAATTTGAATCAGAATCTCTCAGGGCAGGACCCATGCTATATATTTTGTAGGATTTCCCAAGTGTATTAGCTTGGGTGGGGTTTTTTTTTTTTATTTTCTACTAGGTTTTTTTTTACAAAATTTGAATATATTGTTTTCAAAACCAAATTCTTTCTCTTTCCCTCACTCCCCCCTTAAATTGTACAACCCGATGATTAATCCCTCCCCCCATCCACCTCCCTCTGCTTCCAACCTTTTACACCCCTCTTGGATCCTTATACTCATTCAACAGTAATGGTTTTCTACAATATTTATCCTTGTGGGACTGAGTTAGTTCACTCAGCATAATGCTCTCCAATCCCTCCCAAGTTAGGTAATAATTTATAAAATCATTGCTCCCATGTGCTGCATAGTATTCCATTGTATGAATATACCATAATTTCTCAATCCATTCATTTGTGGTTAGATTTTCAGGCTATTCAGAATGACCAAATGGGATTCATAACAGGTATGCAAGGATGGTTCAACATAAAAGAAAACAATCAATATATTAGTTCTTGAAGGAGCTTTGGGGTCCTAGTGGATAAGATGTTGTGTTACCAAGCAGAAAGCAGGTGGTTTGGATCCATCAGCTGCCCCAAGGGAGAAAGATGAGCACTCTCCTTCCATGTGATTTATAGCCTCTGAAACTGCCTGGTTGGGTATGGGTCACCTCCATTCAATATCATTAAGAGCTGAATATTCTTATTATGGCTGTAAAGAATTAAAACAAAAGTTATTGTCTTAAAAGAAGACTGTCTCCCAATTCTGAAGTTTGAAATAGGTCTCACTAGGCTAGAGCCAACAGACCACTGTGACTGTTAACTACCAGTTCTCTATTTTATGCAGAGATAGGCGTGTGCTAGATTCTATAGCACTCTGGAGGCTGTCTCCTGAGAGCAGAGATGCAAACTCCTGCTTTATAAAAATGAAGATATTTCCATCACACATATATGCAAGATAAACATCTAGTTACAGTGAGATAGAATTTTAACCAGACAACCTTATCTGCAAGATTAACAGCTGTTCTACCTAGATGGAGCATTTATGGCCCAGTTTGCAGCAGATCTCATCCTATCCTTTTTATTTTACGGAGTTCACGTTATACAAGTTACTCTCCTATCTTGGTTAAAAAGGCCCTGGTGGTGTAGTGAATTACATGTTGTACTGCTAACCAAAAGGTAAATAGTGTGGATCCACTAGCTGCTCTGCAGAAGAAAGATGATGAGGCTGAATGCTATGAAAGAAATCCAGTGGAGAGCTGCCAGGAGTCAGAACTCACACTTGTGGTTTGGTTCTAGTCTAGGCTTGATAAACCCTTGCATCACCCTCCCTATTTCCAGAATTCTCCTATCTGAAGTTGGGCAAAATTCTGGTAAAGATCAAATTGCTTGTTATTAATTCAAAAGGGAACACTGGTGGCACCAATAGCTCTGCCTGGAGAAACTATTTTAACAGCTCAGGGAATGACTAGAAAAGGTTTTAGATTAATAGCCTACAATCACCAACCATTCTGTTTCCACTCTCTGTAGGAAATTTATCTGCAAGCTGCCCAACTATAACTTGTCTTTGGAGAATATGTAATCAAATTCTATCTTCATTCACTCACAGCATTTCAAAAATTTGTTGTTGTTGTTGTTGTTACGTGCCATTGAGCCGCTTGCCACTTATTGCCTCCCTGTGTACAACAGCCCTAAACCCTGCTCTGTCCTGTGCCAATCGCACTGCCTCTGATACACCCATCCCGATTACCCCAGTCACTGCATCAATCCACCTCATAGGCCTTCCCCTCCTGCGCTGTCCCTACACCCTACCAAGCATGATGTCCCTCTCCAAGAACCGGTCCCTCCTTACATGTCCAAAGTATGTTAGACAGAGCCTCTGAGTCCTTGCCTCCAAGGAGCCGCCCAGTTTGACCCTTTGCAGGATGAATTTGTTGGTTTTCCTAGCAGTCCATGGTACCCGCAGTACTCTTTTCCATCACCACAGCTCAAAGTCATCAATTCTCCTTCTATCCTCCTTAGTCATTGTCCAACTCTGATGCATAACAAGTGATAGCAAAGACCATGGCCTGTATCACACACCTTAGTCTCCAGAGAGACACCATTGCTCTGCAGTACTTTGCAGAGGTCCCTAACAACAGAAAATCTAAGACAACCATTATCTCCCTTAAGGAGCCCTGCAGGCATAATGTGCAAAAAAATATTGGGCTAACTTAAAGATGTTGTTGTTGTTGCCATCAAGTTGAGTAGAACTCAGTGACTTTATGAACAAAAAATGGACAATAGTTTACATTTACCATTTGCTCTGAGGGAGAAAGATAAGTAGTCTCATTCTGCAAGGATTTATAGCCTCGGAAAACCAATGCTGGTTCTGGTTTTAACTTTGCCTTAAGTTTTAAGCTTCTGAGTTTATGTTCTTCTCTTCCAGAGTTCTCATCCTTCCAGTTAAGAATCAGGCTCAACATTAGAGTTTGGTTTGGTACTATCATCTTTGATTGCCACTTCTAAGGCAAGCTTCAGTTTTTCTCCAGAGTAAACATACCTGATTCCTTGGACCCCTCCTTGCATGACCTAGTTGAGATTGCTTCATTATTCTTGGCCAAGTCACTCATGCATGGTGTCCCAACCTCTTCAAAGCACTTGAGGATGATCTCATCACCAAAGGGCAGTCAAGACAGCCTCTCTGACTAACCCCCTATGCCTCTATAACTATCAGAACACTATACAGGTTATAAACTAGCAGGTTCACCAAGGTGAGGATCTTTTGGGTTTGAAAGAAGGCAAAGCATTTTCTACATGACTCCAGGGGAAGATATTCCCCACCCCAAACAAAACCACCAAGTGCTCCTAGTGGTTATTTGTTGCTATGTACCCCCAGTAGGTTTTCAGAGGCAGTTAATCACATGGGAAGAGACAGTACATCTTTTTCCCCCCGTGGAGCAGCTGGTGGATTTGAACCACGTGCCTTGGGTTGGAGGTGTAACTCCTTATTTGGTTGTATACCATGAAGTCAGAATCGATCCACATTTGCCTGCCCAGCACGTTTTCAGAGACAGTAAATAGCACATCTTTCTCCCACAGAGTAGTTGGTGGGTTTGAATGCTGTGCCTCTGGGATTTGCAAAACAGCTTCTTACCAACAGGCCACCAGAAAAGACTTAAAAACAATGGAGAAGATACAAAAACTTACTCTGCATTTGCCAACTCCTCCTCACTGGGTCAACACAATTCTTTAGGGAAAACAAACGAACTTTGCAATTTGTTTCACCTCGAGAGATTCATTTTAAAGTGTTTGTGAAAAGATGTGCCAGGAGATTCATCACAACTCTCTATCTTCCCCAGTACTGCTCATCACGTCAGTTTTGGCATAATTATCAACTTACAGCCATTGAGTCGGGTTCACAGTGACCCCACCGGGTTTCTGTGGCTGTAATCCCGGTGGAAGGAGACTGGCCATCTTTTTCTTTGGGAGCCACTGGCAGATTTGAATTGCCTCTGGGTTAGTGGCCCAACTTATTACACACTAGGAATGGCATCCACTTCCTAAACAACAAGCCTCCGGAAACTCTATGAACCTTGATAAAATGTCGATAGTTGTAGAGGGGCTCCAATCACTATGCGTCATTCTTGACTCAAAGGCAGTCAACAAGAAGAAGCCACCAAAATTCCCATTAGCATAATTAAGAGAGAAAATTCAAGCTGCTCTTAGTACCACTTGTTCAGCAATTTTTAAATTCTAAGACTAAAGCTTCTGGCTCAAGGGAGATTTGTGTTTAGCTGTGTATTCTTTTCCTGAATATAAATGTAACCATGTACACGAAAAGTATTAGAAGAGTGTACTGAACACGTTAACATTTATTACTAATCGTGGCTTTTGAGGCATTCTTATTTACTTCTACTCTGGGTCTTTAAGCTGGGTCTGGTGTGAAGCTTAATAAATTTTGAGCACAGATGAATGGTAGAGAGTCTAGTACGCCAGGTCTCGGGCACAGATACTATCATGGGACCACTCTCATATATGTTCTCCACTGAGGAAAGAGCAAACAAATGGCTTGAGTAGTTCAGCAAAGGCTGTTAAGTAGTTACATAGGTTGGTAAACTCCTAAAAATGTGGGCCATTTTAGTCGCGGTTCCAGGTGCAGTGAAATAAGAGTTAACGTGTTCTCTGGAATCTTATTCACATCTACGGAGACGCCAATTAGTATTTTAACACAAAGTTCTTTTGCAATCTCACTTGAGAAAATCCCACAGAACCCACAAAGATAAAGCCAAAGCAATGTGATAAAGTACAAATGCAATCAAATGTATTTATCTTCCAACCCAAGGAGACAGGAGACAGCGCATACTCTAAGGCACACAGTATCTGCTACCAACTCCAGCGAAGGAATCCTACTCAAGGACATGACACTGGAAGCAAAAAAAGATCAATCCAAACAACGCTGAAGATAGCAGGACGTGAAGGATTCTTATTTATTTCCCCAGATCTTCAGGCAACCCCATTGAGCTAGAGGTCACATGTAGCTGAGTATAAAAACCAAGAAAAATATAAGGCTTAAAAAGTATTTGCAGTCTATTTCTTCAACTTCTGGCCGACAGAGTCCAAGAGCAGTCTGGCAGGAGGCAGAGAGGCTATCTAGCTTCTGCAGTTACACAATCTTCACAGTTCTGAGCATCTCTGAGAGGACATAGGTGTCATCCCAACCACTCCCAGGCCTCCTCAGGGTTTGCTCCAAGGCTTGCGCCATTTCCAGAAGATCCTGTGTGGCAAGCTTCCGCTCGGGGTGCAGCTGACAGAACAGGATCTCATTGACTTCACCTTCAATTCGCCGAACATATAGGAGGGGGAATACCGCCTTGAGCCCAGCTAGCACAGAGTTCTTTAGCCCCAAGTCTCGGCACACAAGGTTGAGGATAAAGACACCTGATGGGTGAAAAGGAAAGAGTTAGAATGACTACAGACCAGGGCACACGTCAGAGGATCAACTCTGAGGAAAATAACAATCCCTGTCCCAGCAGATCTGGGGGACTCAGAAAAGGGAATGTGGCAGACAAGGGTAGAAAAACATGGGGAATTTAAAAAAATCACCAACCAACCACCATGTGGAATGTGAAGAAACTTCCCTGTCCTTCTGTGCGATCATAACTTACTCTCTGTGCCTCTGTTTCTGAAAAAACTGCTTTGAGAATAAAAAAAAACAACACACACACAAAGAATTAACCAATTCTACAAAGAGCTCTGGCGGCCTAGTGGCAAGAGGCTGCACTGCAATCACGAAGGCAAACAGTTCAAGGCCACCAGATGCTTTGGTGGAAGGACAATCTCCTGTGAAAGTAACCACCTTAGAAAACCCACTGAAGGGTCAGCTCTGAGTCAGTTCTCACTCTAATGGTACACAACAACAACAACAAAGATTAAACACTCAGGAATGACACAGGAACATACACATCAGAGTATTCATGAATGAGAGAACCAAGGTGACCTTACACCACCAAATTAGAACACCTGGCAAATAACAAACAAAAGTGTTAAGAACTCCAGCTCTTAAGTGACATGGCTGTACAAGTCTTTTAACTTCAGCTTCCTCATCTGAAGTGTATAGATTTCTAATGAAGGTATTGATCAGTTTTGTATTCTCACAAAACTTACACTGAGGAGATTCAATGGCAGAAAATAAGACTCACACAGCACGGGAAAAAGGTAAAGGGTGCATCAAGTCCTTTGGGGCCAAAGAGATTCCTGCTTGAGATGGAGACAGACACTGCAGACTCGGACATGACCGCCATAACAGCAGAGGTGGTGGAGAATCAAAGATCAGGCTAAGAGAGAGCTGAAATGGAAGTGCTGTTCTGCAGAGCCACTACCCAGAGACTTCACCCAAGCTTAGGAGAGACTGGGAGAGAGGGATGGAGAGAAGATACCATAATTGGCAGAACTAAGAGAGCTTTTTAACAGTGGCCTTGAAATCAAGCAGCCGAAAGTCAACAGGTCCAAAAGCATGCCTGAGACGCTGTCCAAACGGAAGAACTATACCCTGTTTGCAATCAGAATTGTAACCTACTAACATGCCTAATAAATCGTAAATATAGACTATGAGTTCTGTGTGGCCACTGCAACAGATTAGAGACTCGATGGGTTGGGAGAGACCTAGGAGAAAGATGGGTGGTAGTAGAGCTGACAGAAAGAGATGTGGGAATTTGGGGATGTGTCTGCTCACACAGGAATCCGTTTCATGCTGTGGATAGGGACTATTCTCCCTTTTGGAGACAGTGGAAGTTGAACTCAGCTGTTCTCATGCTGTCTGCACTCTTATACAGGGTGCATATTGTTACAATCACTTCAAAAGACTTATGTTGCAGCACCTAAGACAGCAGAATTCAATTATAATTAATAGTAATTACAATCGCAGGTATATAATTAACAGACTGACAAACATTTTTCAACAAAATGTAACAGTCTAACAGAGCAAACAACCCAAATATCAGCAGCAAAACAGACTAGTTGTGGTATGATCCCACAATGATACTCCACAAAAATGAGATCAACCGTGAAAAACACCATGCTGCATGAAAGAAACCAGATACTTATAAAGAGTCTATTTTATGGGACTCTATTTACATAAGGAACAAAAACAGCTACACTAACAGAAATTGATAATGGTTACCCTTTGGAGAAGATGTTACTGGAAGGAAGGTTAAGAGGCGAGCTTCTGTGATGCTGGAAATGGTCTGTGTTTGATGTTGTTAAATAGGTACGCTCAATTTGGGGAAGCCAATTTTCTAATGCATGAACAAAAAATGAAATGTCCCTTTTCTACTATAAAGATAATTTTTAGAAGGACCATTCCCTCCTCCTTCTCCAACCATTTACTTCCCATACCTTCAGAAGCCAAGATGTTTTTGACCTTCTGCAGGAAAGCATGGTCCACAAACGCAGGGGGAGGACAGCTCATTCCCAGTGTTGGGTCTTTACTGTCCACATCAAACATTATGACATCGTAGTGAGGCCGTGCTAGGAAAGAGAAGTAACACACCTTTGTCTTACTGGACAAAAATCACGCTATTTCCATTCTATGGCATTTCTCCTCTGTGACCTGTGGTGGGCACTGGCAGCTCAGTTAGAAGGTAGGCATGGAGGATGTGGTTTGCCTGGACGAGCACTGACATCACAGTTGTACATACACCAACTGTAAAGATGGCCTTCACTACGTCTTCTACCTCTACAGATAAAAGGACCTCCCAAAGGTACCCACAATAATAAAATCCACTCCAGCATGAATACTGCTTCATTCAACAGCCACCTTGGCTGTTCCCTCTCTGAGAACATTAGCATCACCTTGGGTAAATACTTACACTCCTAACCAACCGAGTGAAACACTCCAGAGTGATTGCAGGTGCCATGGGAAACCTCTGGCATATTTTTTATTATTATTGTTATTTTGTTGTTATTATTATAAGTTCTCTATTGCTGTCTGATGTTATGTGTCTTCAAGTTGAGTATAACTCATAGCAACCCTATGAACAACAAATCTGAACTCTGTCCTACCCTGTACCATCCTCAACCTCTTTGACACACTTGAGCCCACTGCTGCAGTCACTCTTTATCAATCCATCTCGTTGAGGGTCTTCCGCTCTTTCACTGACCTTCTACCTTGCAAGCATGATGTCCCTTTCCAAGGAATATTCCCTTCTAGCAACATGTCCAAAATATGTGAAACGAAGCTTCATCAACCTAGCCTCCAAGGATGCACCTTCTCCAAGACATATTTATTTGCTCTTTTGGCAGTCCATGGATATTCAGTCCTATTCTTCAGCATCACATCTCAAAGGCATCATTTTTTCTTCTGTCATCCTTATTCATTGTCCAGATAGATGGCAGACACATAGAAAGTGAAAAGACCATAGCCTGAATGTGAGGCTGTTGGCTGACTATAGATCCAAATAAGGTGAAGTCATTGACAATTTTAGCCTTTTCTCCATCTATCATGATGTTGCCTATTGGTTTACTGGCCCAGCAGAGAAGATTTTGCTTTCTTGATGGTGAAATGTAATCCATACTGAAGGCAATAGTCTTTGACTTCTACAGCAAGCACTTCAAGTCTTCCTCACTTTCAGGAAGCAAGTTTGTGTCATCCATATAACTCAGATTGCTGTTACGTCTTCCTCCTATTCCGATGCCACATTTTTCTTTACGGAGACGAGCTTCTCAAAGTATCTGTTCAGAACACAGATTGAAGAGGTATAGAGAAAAGATACAACCTAGATGCACAGCATTCTTGATTTTAAACCATGCAGGGTTAAAAAGAACTGCAAGAAGTTCCAGTTGGATGTAAAAGAGGTCATGGCACCAGAAATGTATCATTGCTGATGTCAAATAGATCTTGGCAGAAAGCAAAGAATACCAGAATACTGTCTATTTGTGTTCATATTGACTATGCAAAGGCATTTGACTGTGTGGATTATAACAATGGGTAAAAGCTCTCTAGGTAATTCTAAATACAGTCAGGGTTGAGAAGCACTAATCTACACAAAACAGTAGTCTATCCCTTTGAAGCCTGACCCAGAATCATTATTTTAACTTCAGGGGATGTGTAAAGTCAGCTGATGCTGCTCCTAAGAAACATTCTGAAACTTGAGTTAGGATTATTGTTTATAGTTATTCAAACAATAACTGGCTCAAAAAAAAATTATTTTGCTACATGGGTGAGACATAATGGATGATGAATCTGCCTGTTCTTTAATACTAAGATTTGTTTTTAACAAACGTTGAGATTATAATGTAAAATATCTTATTAATAAATCATTCATTTAAGACTGCTATAAACTCTAAGAGCCCTAGGAGGCTTGAGCATTATATGTTGGGCAGCTAAATGAAAGGTCAGCAATTCGAATCCACCAGCTGAGTAGTCTCCTCTCATAAAGATTTACAGTCCGGGAAAACCAATGGAAGGTCACTATGAGGCAGAATCGACTCAAAATTAGTTAATGTGGTTTTTGGCCTATCAAAAAGGCTCTGGTGGCCTAGTGGTAAGAAGCTGTGCTGCAATCCCAGAGGTAAGCAGATTGAATTCACCAGCTGCTCCACAGGCGAATGATGAAAAGTCTCCTTTTATGCAATTTACTGTTTCTGTAAACCTGCTGGAGGGTCAGCTATGGGTTGATTCCAATTCAACAGCACACAACAATAAGTATGCCCAGCAATATCCATGAACACAGATTTGATTTTGGCCTTCTGGAGAGAAGAACTTGTTAGCTCTTCCAAGCCCAATGAACACAATGGCACATATTTGCAGACTTCAACACTCAGTAATTTGGAAAGTTGTGGTGGTTAGAGAAGACAGGCAAAGCTGCTCAATACTGATCTACAGGTTTCACACTAGCAGCCAATTAAAAACTGAGTACCTAACCCATGCTTGGCACTGTTTCAAACACTCCATACACTGCTTTCTCAGGTTTGGGACCTAGACTGGCCTTCAGCTCAGAGAAGGAACCTGTGACACTGAAGTAGGTCAGTTCACAATTAAAATTAAGCCATTATCTGGCCATCACAGCAACAAGACTCTCCCCCTAGCAACATGATTTGTTCCACACTGGAACTCACTCACTCATTACTGCAGAGTCAGAAATGACTCAACGCTGACCCTCCAGTGTGTTTCCGAGGCTGACAATTGCATAGGAGATTGATCATCTTTCTCCTACACAGAAAGATGGATTCTAACCAGAGAGGCACTGCCTTTGACTTAGCAGCGTAGTTCTCGAGGACTGGGCCACATTGGAAGCTACTTGAATCTAGTGAGGACTACAGTTATCTGCTATGAAAGGAGCAGATAAGAAGGGGGTACCTGAGCAGCCCAAAAGGCTGCCCTAAACCAGTCAAACTGACCTCTACCGATGAATTCAAGATTTGCAAAGCAGTAAGATCACCTGAAGCCTCTATTAAAAAGCTGAAAAACAATAAAAAAACTACTGTATGTATTACTGCAAAAACTTAACATGCCTTTTGTCTTAACTCTAGTGTACAGATTCTTACAGCAGAACAGAACTTACATTACCGCAGCAGGGTATTGTTGTTACATGCTGTTGAATTGATTCTGACTCAGCAATTTCATAGGACAGACTGGAAATAACCCCATCGGTTCCTAGGCTGTAATCTTTTAACAGAACTAGGTCACCAGGTCTTTCTCTCACAGAGGAGTGGGTGGGCTTAAACTGCCTATCTTTCCGTTAACAGCTGGGTGCTTAACCACTGCATCACCAGGGCTCCTTTTAACAGCAGAATTATCAAAATTTCCACTGAATACCATGTGAATTGGAGTTTCTCAGCCTCAGCAGTGCTGGAATTTGGGACTGGACAACTCTTCCTTGTGGAAAGCTGTCTTGGGCATAGCTGGCATTTAGCATCATTCTCAATTTCTTACCAACTAGGCAGTTCTGCAGGCATAGTCTGTCAGGAGTCGCACGAAAACCCAAAGGCTGAGCCTCTCGGGTGGTCTGAGTTCACCAGCTGCTCCACAAGAGAAAGACGCACAAACCCATGAGATTTACGGCCTCTAAAAACCCACTAGAGGGTCAGTTATGAGTCAATTCTGACTCGATGGCAAGGAGCTGTTTTCTTGAGCGACGTCAACAGCAGTCCTCTCCCTATGACAACTTTAAAAATGTTGCCAGATTCCTGTAGGCAATACTAACTTTCGCTGAGAAGCAAAAATCCACATGAATGCTGTTCTTTTGCCAACTTCGTGCAAAGCTGGAGGATTTGCAAGAAAAAAAAACTCCAAGTACACATGCACCTTTCCTTTTCTGCAACCAGCTACAATCTTACAGATGTCTTAGTATGGTGAAGAAGTGAACACCTACAAGGTCTAAAGATGGGAACATTATCACCATTAAGGACAGAAAACAGTCAGTTGTACTTCCGTTTATAGTCCAATATATAGTGCACAGTGAGGACATGACTGACTCTGCATGTGTTCAACAGACATACCAATAAATGGACCAACAAATCAACAGGTCTATGACTGGGATGGTCTTGATGCTATGCGTTCAGAGAGGAGTTCTAGCGGCCCCTGCAGGCCTGACAACCTTGCACTGTTTCCCTCCACGTTCCCCACTAGCAGTTACCTTCTCCTCCTTGTGCTAGGGTGGTGACATAGTCCAGGCCATCCGCAATGTGGACCTGCATACGGTCACTCTGGGAGAAGCCGAACCACTGAGTGGCCACTTCCAACATGGATGAGTCAATCTCCACAGCATCGACGTGGGACTTTGGGAAGTGATCATGGACAAAGAGGGGGAGACTGCCCCCACCAAGGCCTACCACCAGCAGTGTCAGTGGGGATTCTGTGAAGAAATAATAGATCATTACTGTGCCATCTGAAAAACTCTGTACCAGTCCTGGGTGGGGTGGGGGAAGGATGGACAAAAGAAAGAATGAGACAGTTGACCAGACAACTCATGGTAATTGACTATCTTGTCTCATGCCACAAACAGCAGTCAATTGGCCATCTCAAAACTCAACTCTCAATTCACGGTGACCAAGTCCAGAAGATGAGCCAGTGTGTTAGTTGTGTGGCCCTTTAAAGATCTCAAAGCACTCAGCTAACATCATATTAAGAGTTCCCACCATAGGGGAGCTCTGGTGGCCTAGTGGCAAAAAGCTGCACTGCAATCCCAGAGGTACGTGGTTCAAATCCACCAGATGCTCTGCTGGAGAAGGAGGGGCAGTCTCCTCCTGTACCAGTCAGATCCAATTTGAAGGTACACACACACAAATAATAATAAGAGTCCCCACCATAAAAGCTTCCCCTCTAGAAAACAGAGGGACAGTGACCAAGAAATTATGATCACATTTGCAAGGCAGGTGTGATGTCTACTATCTAGTTCTTGACCCAAAGGCCACAACTACCCTTTTAAACAACCCAACTACACAAGGGCAATCAACCCAAGCCCCACGAATCACAGAGAAGCCACAGCAATTTATATTGAAAGAAGACAAGGAACAAGAATAACCAAGAGGAGAGAAATCTTGAGGATTAAATCTAAGAACTATGACAAAATCTAAGAACTGAGACCCAGGTCAAGAAAAGTCAAAAGTATAAGGTGTTTCGATCAAGCACACTAGGGGCTTTTACTGAGGAGCGGTAAGCATATACAGTAAACGGAACATTTTTGCTTATGTGATGAGATATGAACCTGCTACCAGTGATAAATAAAGCTAGCCTTTGAGCTGTGGTGCTGGAGAAGAGTATTGAATGTACCATGAACTGCCAGGAAAACAAACAGTTTCATCCTAGAAAGGGTTAAACCAAGCTACTCCTTGGAGGCAAGGATTCTGGGGCTTCATCTGACATACTTTGGGCATGTTGCCAGGAGGGACGGGTCCTTGGAGAGGGACATCATGCTTGGGAGGGTGGAGGGACGGCGGAGGAGGGGAAGACTCTCTATGAGATGGATTGATTCAGTGACTGGGGTAATCGGGATGCGTGTGTCAGAGGCAGTGCGATTGTCACAGGATAGAGCAGGGTTTAGGGATGTTGTATACAGGGTCATTACAAGTTGCAAACGACTCGACGGCACATAACAACAACAAGTGCATGAACTATACTACGGATTTGGTTTTCTTCAACAGTAGTAATTCAAGCTAAAAATGCTTCTGATACAAAGTAATGTATTAATGAAAATCCAGAAATATTCTTAAAGTGCAAAGGCACTGGAGTGAAGATTTTAAAATGAATCTAGTTACACAGGTATATAAATATGCAAACTTTCATCAAGGTATGATTACCAAACACTGTCTACCTTGGGTATTGTGCTCTTTTAAAGCTTTATCTATATGGGATCAAAATGACAACATCAACTCTAATTAAAAGTTAGATAGGATACTTTATGTTAATAGAGAAACAATTTGGGAAAAGAGGAAGAGAGTGGTTGCAGACTTGAAAACAACCATTGAAGGATACATATAAGAATTGTTAAATTTGTATATATCTTGCTGTCTATATTTTTAACAATAAAAAGTTTCTCAAGTTAAATTTAAGATTTGAGGACTTTACATACCTCAAACAATACCTCAACTTTCAAATGGGAAACATAAAATCTAGATTTAAATATCAGGACATGTAGCCATCTGAAGGTTACAAATTGAGTCTGAAGTTACACTTGGAAATTTATTAGTGTGGAAAACAGCTGGGATGAATAAATATGGATGCATCTGTCAGTCCTCAATTACAATTCTCAAAATGCAAAGCAGCTCATGCTATTTACGTCTGTAATCTTACATACTTCCCAATGTGGAAAATTGTGGTATAATCCTCACCTATGAGCAGCTCCGAGTTTCGCAGGAGGGCAAGGCCTGCGATCATGGCTTTGTGATGCTCACAGCACAGGTAACTCTTATCAATGGCCTGCCGCGGGGCCGCAGAGAGGAGCTCTGGAGTATCAGCAGGCCGCTTCTTCCTATCCTTTTTGCGTTTCTTCTGGGCTAAGATAAAGACAAGTGAGACAGATTTAGATGCTGGAACACAACAGACAACAGCAGCAATGTGCTAGAGCTAGCTTGACCAGATTCAGAATCAGCAACCGCTAAATTTGTAGGTAAAAGCAGATTTAAGGATGACAGAAGAATGAATGCCTTTGAGTTGTGGTACTCAAGAAGAGTACTGATTATCCCATGCATTGACAAAAGAACAAGTATTTCTTGGAGAAAGTGCAACTTAGGGTACTCCTTAAAAAGCAAGGATGGAGAAATTTCATCTCACATACATAAGGCAGGTGTTCAGAGGAGCCAGTTTGGAAAGGTAAAGAGTGAGTGCTTGGAAAGGTAAAGAGTGAGTGAAAGAGGTAGAATCTCAACAAGATGGAATAACACAGTGACTACAGCAATGGGCTGGAAGATAGCAGAGATCATGAGGATGGCACAGGAGGGCAAAGTTCAGATCCATTCTTCTCTAGAGCTGCTCTCGGTCATAAGCAGCGTGATGGCACCTAACAATAAATTTCTAAAAACTCTGACTTTTTACTCTAGGACTTTTAATTGACCGTAGCGAGAGAATACAGAGGAAAAAAGTAAAATAATCATAGTAAGCGTTCTGGGGCAGTTTGCAGATTACTTACACATGATGTGTATGTAATGGCAGTGATCTACACTGGTTAATAGCCAGTAACTACCAGTGACCATTTAAATAAATTACAGTTATATAAAGTTAAAAATTTCATTTCCAAGTCACATCAGCCACATTTCAAACACGTAGCTGCCACACATGGCTAGTGGTTACCATGCTGGAAAGCGTAAACACTGAACATTTGCTCTGTTGCACAAAATTCTCTGAAATAGAACTGAATCATCTATGGAGTCCCTGGGTAAAGCAAACAGCTACCTTGATCTACTTCTGAAAGATAAGTCACTGAAAATCCTATGACGCACCATTCCATCAACACTTGGGATTCCAAACTATCAGAATCAACTTTATGGCAACTAGTTTTTTGTTGGTTTTGGTTCTTTGGGTTTTTTAAGAGAATACTTTATTAGTTTCTGTAATCAAAACCATGTAGAGAAGACATTACATATTCAACACAATGTGTTTTCCTTGGTTTCCAATATGACGATTAATTCCTATACAATGCCACCTCAACCCAGTACGACCGTGATATTTTTTCCAAAGCTGACAGTATAGGCTACAGTTCCAAAACATTCAAAAAAATTCTTTTTGTTATCTATATATCAACTAGCTTTTTGGTATTGATTTTTTTTTTATCCCTAATCGTATCTTTTCAATAGCTTCTATTAAGAGAACTTAGTAGTCCAAATGGGTAAACATTTGGCCACTAGTTAAGAGATTGATGGTTTGAATGCATCCAGAGGTGCTTAAAAAGACAGGCTTGAGGATCGGCTTCCAAAAGGTCATGACCTTGAAAATCCTAGGGAACAGGATCTTGTGAGTACTGAGTCATCTTGATGTGAGTTGGAATCAACCTTAGTCATTAAGGCTCACTACCTGGAAACTAGTTTTCAATGACCTCTTAACTCTGAAAAGAGTTTTCTAAAACGGATTACAGTAAATTGTACTGTGGAGGGCACAGATTCAGGTTTCTGCATGCATCCTGCATGTTTCTGGCACATGAAACACGTCTTTCTTCAAAACATCCTTTAATAATACATGGAATGATACAGAGCAACTTGAAAGCTTTAAACTAAAGATATTAAAGTGAGTACAATACTTATTTGGGAGACTCCCAGCTCTGCTCTTTATCACTTCAGAGGCAGGTTTTTCTCTAGAATATATGCTTCTCCTGTTTACTACCACTCATACTCAAAAGCCTAGACGAGAACAAAGGCAACCCACAGAGTCACGTGCCTTGATCCTCAGGTCGGCCCTCACCCCACACGGAGAGTCCACGCCGTGCCCACCAGTATCCCACCACCACACTCACCTCTGTGAGACACATCCTTCAGCAACCTGGCTTCCGACTGCACCACATTCCTGTTGCTGAGGAAGATCAATCGCCGAAAGAAGTGCTTGTCGTCTCCCTGCACGTCCTCAATGACGTATTCACCACTCATGGGACTGCAGGCTTGGTGCTGAACAGTTCGGATGCCAATGTCTCCACCCACAGAGAGAAAGGGCACCTGAAGACACAGGGAATGGGGTCTAAACAGTAGCTTAAACATAAAAGCAATTGCAACTCTTTCTCGTTTGTATGGCTGCCATCCAAGTCAATTCTAATGGGTAGCGGCCTTAAGTGACCTAACAGAACAGTCCCACAGAGGTTTCTAAACTGTGATCTTTATGAAAGCAAAATTTAGCTCTTTCTTCTGTGAAGCCACATAGTGAGTTTGAACTGTCAAGCTTTCAGTTTAACAGCTAAATGCTTAACTGTTCTCAACAACAGGGCTTCTTGTGTTGTTGTTATGTGTCGTTGAGTCATTTGTGTGTCATAGTGGCCCTAGATACAACAGTTCTGAACCCTGCCCTACCTTGAGCCAACCTCACTGTCTCTGATACATCTACCCCCATTATCCCAGTTCTTGTACATTATGATAAAAGGCCCACCTCAAATTTGTGGGCAGGAGTATTTGCTTTTCTATTGCAGTACTTTTCTGGGGTTCTAAAGCAGATCTCAAAGGTTTAATTAACTTTTTAAAAATGGAGCAGAGGGATGAGGATATGCAGGGGAAGGGGAGATAATCATGGAATTGGATAATTTGATGGGTGAGGAAGTGAGGGAAATTGGAAGATTCTGTTCTGGAAAACAATGTATCCAAATTTTGTAAATAAACTAGTATAATAACAACAACAACATAATTAACTAAATACATAGCCATTAGTGAGATGAAGTTGATTCTCCTGGAAAAAAATTAAATAGTGTCTCAAAAGAATTGCTTTGCCTATCCTAAGGCAGATGGTTTGAATCCACCAGCTGCTCTTTGAAAGAAAGATGGGGAATCTTCCTGAGCTACTTAGTTTCTGAAAACTCACTGGAGGGTCAGCTCTAAGTTAGTTCTGACTTGATGACAATGAGCAACATCAGTGATGCTAAAAAAGGACCCTCAATAGTCCAGAAAAGTGAAAGGAGAGAAACTCTCTCATGCTGTCTCTGTAGAGTCCAAGAAGCCAGAGAGAGAGAGAGAGAGACGACACTATGGCTCTTAGTAAAGGTTAACTATTATCTTCCTCTCAATGCCTGGAACAAGGGAAAAGTGCTTTTCTGCCTATTTAGCCCTTAGCTTCTGACATACTCTGTAGAACAGCCTAGGGTCACAGACCCTTGTCCATACTCTAAGATCCCCTCTGACCTCCTAACTGCTGAAGTGACTTCTTCAGAGACCCAGGAAAGTGGTTGTATTTATTACCTTCTGCTGGACAGGCATCCCTGCTGGAGCGAGCTCCATGACTCTGGCCGACAGCTCAGCCTGGATGCTGTCCATGCCTTCATACTGCTGACCTCGGTGGAGGGCCACTGTGACCAGCCTCCTGAAACCCGCGCTGGCTGCCAGCTGTTTCCGGCCCTCCTCCATGCCGAAGAGCCACTCAGTCTCCCTGCCCTGGGGAACTGGGAAAAAGAACTTGATGAAGAAACATAGGAAGAGGTTTCAAGGCCATAACTAACATGTCCCACATGGCATACAACCAGCTGTCCATGAACAACATTTCCTCAACTGTGATCCACTGAGGCCTACTGATTCCCTAATGTCCAAAGGAAAAGAGGCCCATCAGACACAAGGCAGGGGAAAGGGGGGATGAGAAGTGAGAGCATGTGTATAAGAAGAGGGAGGCAGGCATCGATGCAAGAAAAATAGCAGTTAATACTAGCACTTGTTGCATGGCAAGCATTACTGCAAGCAATTTAGAGATATGAACTAACAAAATCCTCATGTAGCCCAAAATGGAGACATTATAATTACTATTCTCATTTTAAAATTAAGAAACAAAAACAAAAGTTGTATTACTTGCCCAAGTTCACAAATAGTAAATGGTGAAACTGGTTCTTATATCTGAGCAGTATGGATCAACAGTCTTAGACTCTCTAGTTCTATACTCTTATCCACTTACAGTATTGACTCCCAAAGGTGGAGTTGGAATTGCAGATTCTCTTTTGCAACAATGATGCAGCCATGAGAAAACATTTTACCAGCACAACCCTAACAGTATATTTGTTTACAACTTTCTCCTTCTGAAAGCATCACTCATCTCTTTGATCCTTAAAATAAATGTGATATTCATTTTTCCCTATGCCAACAGGTATTTAAGTGTTTTTCTGTTTCTTGTAACTACTCAAAACAGTCATTCCCATTTTATGGATGAGGAAACAAGAGGCACAGAAAAAAAGTAACTTGTTTCATGTCACTCCACCAGGAAGTGATTGTGCTTGAACTCCATAGTCTTCTTTCCAGAGCTCACATTTTTTTTAAAAAAATCAACGGATAGTCAATTTATTAAAATAGTTGATTTAGGCATCTGCAATGGTGACTTCAACCTCTACTCCAGGCTCAATGCTGATGGAGGTGATCTGCTTGACAATCTCAGAAGGACTGTGTAAGTCAATGAGTCGCTTGTGGATCCTCATCCGGAAACGATGCCAGGTCTTGGAACCTTCCCCACAAGGAGTCTTCCCTGTAGTGATTCTCAGAGTCTTGGTAGGCATCCTGACCGGTCCCTTCACCTTCAGGTTCTTCTCCTTTGCGCCTCTGATCAAGTCAGCACACACCTTCTCCAGGGATTTTACATTGTGGCTGGTTAGGGTAATCCTAATTCGGTGAATGGCCACCTCCAGTTCCACAGGTGTCCTTCCGGTGTCCTTAAAAGCCATGGCTGCAGCACGGCTTCCTGACCGACTTGTTCCCCGGAGAGAGCGAACAGCGGTGAGTCAGGAGCAGGAGCGGGAGAACACCGCACGCCTGCAGGAGCGACCGCATCTTCCTCAGAGCAGAGCTCACTTTTTAGCTACTGCTCCGCACTACCTCTAAATTCAGCAGAGATGTCTTCTGGTCCTGAAGCTCACAGGTTCCTGAGTTGAGACTAGAACCCATCTTAGTAGGCAACTAAGTACAATGTTGCTTCTACTAGTCTATGTTATAAAGCAACATCTTAACATATTGTGTCGTTTACCTAAATTTTTATTATTTCTCTCTCCTCCCTAATAACCTAATCACTGAACTTCAGCAAGCCTATGGAATAGAAGATGGGAAGAAATAAATCTCAATCTAAGCAAAAGGAGAGTTACTTCCCTATCAGATGGCTTGGCCACTGCCACTTTCTCTAGAGTCCTGCAAGATACAACTAAGACATGCCCATCCACCAAAGCCCAGACCCAAGTCCCAGCCCCTTTAAGCCAGCCCGTCTAGGGAGAAAGAGCAATCTCAACTCACTGATGAAAATGGCAAAATGATTGTCCCTCGATGGTTTCACAGTGGGGCTGTCCACCACGTGCAGGGTGTAGCGTGGCTCCCCCGTGTCCCCATCACACAAGTCCAGGGACACACTCCCCAGGCCAGCTTTGCGGCGGAGCTGGCTGCACAGCCAGGCGTACTGCTGCCGTTCCAGCACCGCCTCAGCCAGCCGCTCAGCACTCTCCAGCCGCATAGGCTTGCCCTGCTCCTGAGCACAGAGCTCAAAGATCTGCAGAGCGGAGCCAGGAACTGGTCTGAATTTGGTCATGATGAAGGCAAAGACGGGTAGGGAAAACCGATGCTCTCCTTCAATCACCTGCTCCTGGCTGCTGGACACCTGATGCACCCTCACCATCCAACCCTCCTGAGAGAAGTGACCCACTGCTTTCTTCAGGACGTGAGCCTGTGCCAGGGAAATGCAGAGGTAGCGCCCGCCCACCTGCAGGACACGGCCAACCTCAGCCAGCATCCTGTCCACCTGTTGCAGAGTCTTTTCCTCCTCGTCAGTCAGGACAGCGTCCAGAGTGCCTTTGTCCAATACAACCTGGAATGAGGCATCAGGAAACTCCATCTGCATCATGTCCATCTTCAAGAAGCTCATCCGGGGCCGTTTGCTGGCATTGTGTTCCTTCATCTGTTTGATGACAACCTCACTGATGTCAATGTTCACTATGTCCTGATAGCCCACATCATACAGCTGCTCACTCAGTTCCGAGTTGCCGCACCCAATCACTAGCACCTGAGGGAAGGGAGGGCAAAGAGAGATAAGAAGGTGAACAAGGCAAGAGAAAGTGCTTCAGCTACTTTAAGGACTCAAATCAGTATTGGATACTAGTTTCAGAAGGTGGAGATACTAAGAGAAGGAGAGAACAATATTTCAGAGTTGACTCCAGGCTCCATCTTCAAACATTACTGGTTAGAGGAACTCACAAGTGAAAATCGTGTTCCACTGCAACAGTACAAATCACATGAGGAGCTTTCTATAGCTCAGAAACAAAATTATGGCATTCTTATCTCTGAGACAAGTATTTCTCATTAAATCATAGGATCCAATACAGTAACAGAACAGAAATCCCTTACTATTTGTTTTACTGTTAAAAAGCTTGGGCTTGGGGTCATCATGCTTCCTCGATTCACTCACGTCTTCAGTTCCACCAGACAATAAACTATGTTTTGTGAAGATTCAAGTCTTATTCCATCTCAGGATCGATCTCACGATATTCAGGTATTTTCAGAAGTCTAACTTAAGAGGCATATGATTGGGCCTCTTTGTGGAGTAAACTCCCATCTTCTTAAAATACAACTCAGCTGTCACCATCTCTGGGAAATCAAAAATGCATATATTTTGGAGCTAGAGACACTGAAGTTCAAATTCCTATGTCTACTGACTACTACACAGACCTTATCATGGAAAGGCAGGAGTTGGAACTGGTTCACAGAGTCTGTTTCCTCATTTGTAAAACGTATTTACCACTAGTAACCTACAGGTATTATGAAAACCAATGATCTCACATGAACACTCAGTACTAGGTGTAAAACTTAGTGCATAAAGCTCCACAGTTTTGTGTTTTTTTTTGTATATTCCCTACTCTTCTTCCTTCCATACAACTGCATCAGCTCTTAAACCTATGACTGTACTTACTACTTTTCACATTTAGTAACTGTCACCAGTGCTAGAATGTGCTCAGGGTTTGTGTTTCACAGTCTAAATACTTTCACAGGCTAAAAGCTAAACACAGTTCTAAATACAGGGTACAAGCAACTGTGATAAAAGTTAAACATCAATGAAACCAGAGGACCTGCCTACTCCACAGGAATGGTGAGTCCTCTCACTCTTAAGATACATTTTCAGCAGCTGATATCTAAGTTAGACTAAAGGAATTCTTCTTCTAGTGATAGTCTAATTCAAAAATAAACTGGAAGTAGGGGGAATTGTTACATAAACATCTGAAAAATCAAGAATAATTTAAAACTGCCTTTTTGCCGAAAGTGTGCATTGGAATAATCAAATTATGGCCCTAAATACGGACCTACACCAAGTATTCTCTACCAAGCGTGTGCTGGGATTCTTGCTAGCTTCCACAGAGGTATTCTGGTGTTATTTAAAGCACTTGGCTACTAACCCAAAGGCTGGAGGTTCAAACTCACCAGCAGCTCTGTAGTTGTATGCTTCCATCAACTTCCACAGCCTAGGAAATCTGGAAGGATTGATTCTCTGGCGTACAGGCCACAATGAGCTGAAATCTATTGGACCGTTTTGGGTTTGACTTTGTGGTTGAGCTTCCACCTACGCGCGCGCACAAACACTGGGCTCTTAAGCCGCAGTCCTTACCTTCTCTCTGGGCTTGATATATTTGTGCAGGACCCCGCACAGTTCCAAGTAGGTCCCATACCACTCGAAAGCTTTCTTTCCTCGTAACTGGAAGAATTTCTCCCAATAGTCAACAGAGCCAAACTCCCTGGTGCTTTTAGGTAAGAGATTCATGTTTCTATTGCCCGGGCTGCGTCTTCAGAGTTTCCTACTCCCTGCTTGCCAAATACCATCAGAGGGGCTCATCCACAGGCAGCATCTGGGACATTACAGAATTGTTTCCACAGGCAAACAAGCACAATGAATTTTTTTTTTCCTCCACCCGCAATCCAAAAGGTTACACTCCTACAGGTCAAACGCATGCGCGCGAAAATACTACAGTCAAAACACACTAATCTACCCCACGGGAACTCGTGCCCCTATCCCACGTGGTAAACCCCTCACACTTTCTCAGAGCTCTAGTTTGGAAGCTAACAACCATATCCGGGTTCGAGGGTTTCCCGATTGGTCGTCTGTCTAGAGCATTCCAGCAACTCATTGGTCACAATTTTTCATTTCTAGGATTCTATTGGGTAAGGCTCGCTCTCCTCACGCTCGCGCTTCTTCACAGGCTCGTAGCATTTTATTGACGCGTAGCGGGGGCGGGACCAGAGTCAGGCGGAAGTATCCCGGCGGGTTGGTTCTGTTATGTTTGGGCTGCACGGAAGGGCAATCGTTATCCAAAGCTTAAAGACTTTAAAGTTTCTGTGGACTTTCGGGCTCTGTTTCAGTTTTCTTTCAGAACCAGGCTCCTCCCTGGTTCTGGAATCCTGATTTGATCTGGAGGGAGTCGGCGGTAGGCGCCAGTGGAGATGGAGCCCGTAAAGAAAAATTGTAGATTAGAAGTAAAAGAGCAGAGTATTAACTTACCTGTCTCAACCATATTGTTTTCTCCATCTCTTCTAACTTAGTCACTTTGCGTGTATAATTCTTGTTTAACTTGGAGGAAAATAATGGTACTAGCCTCTAAATTTTCTGCACCAAAATAAAGAATCCACAATAGTAATTTGAGAATCTGAAAAATTCGGGTGAAAAAGACAACTAAATATTCAAAGGTGCGTCCTACTCACCTCCTTTTTCTTTCTATCCTCAAAGAATATTCTTGTTGTTCAGTGCCATCGAGTATGGGCTCATAGCGAGCCTGTGAACTACAGATCTGAACCCTGTCCTCCGCCATCCTCATCAACTCGGACACACTTGAGCTAATAACGGTAGTTACTGTATCAATCCACCTGGCTGAAGGTCTTCTGCACTCTTGCCGAACCTCCACCTTTTCAAGCATGATGTCCCTCCCCAAGGAATAGCCTCTCCTAGCAACATAGTCAAAGTGTGTGAGAAAAAGTGCTATCATTTTGACTCCAAGGAGCACTCTGGTTGCACCTTTTCCAAAACATGTTTATTCTTTTGGCCGTCTATGTGATATTCCGTAATTTCCAACACCACAGTTCAAAGGCATCAATTCTTCTGTCGTCCTTATTCAGTGTCCAGCCCTCAACAGCATAGCAAGTGGTTGAAAATAACAATGGCCTGAATAAGGTGTACCTTAGTGCTCAAACTGATACTGTACCTCAGTATTTTGACAACAGTTCAATGACTTGTTTGTGATTGGAATAATTGTAAGTTAAGAAAAAGAAAATTAAAAAAAATCAGGAATACAATATGAAAAAAGAGCAAAAGAGTGTGCTTTTTGCACACTTGCCCTGACTTGACCTCTAGTACCAAGTGTATTGACTGTGGATCCTAGTAAAATGAAATCGTTGACAGTTTCAATGTTGTCTCGATCTATCATAATGTTGCCTTACAGGTCCTGTGGTGAGAAACATAGCATAGTATATGCAAATATTCAGCATAGTACTAGCTCTGATGGCCGGTGGCAAGAAGCTGTGCTGCAATCCCAAAGGCATGCAGTTCAAATCATCCACCAGCTGCTTCATGGGAGAAGGATGGGCAATCTCCTATGTGATTAACTGACTCTGAACACCCGCAGAAGGGTCTACTATGGGTTAGTTCCAACTGGAGGTATGCAGCAACAACATGCAAATGTGTTCAGACTTCCATTTTTATAATCTGCTCTTAAGTAGTTGCTACTTGATTGTGTTGTTGTTGTTGTTGTTATGTGCCATCGAGTCGTTTCCGACTCATAGCGACCCTATGCACAACAGCCCTAAACCCTGCTCTATC